TTTTTGAGAATATTTAACAAAATGAAAGAATGATTTTGATATAATGGCAAGAGAGAAAAAACCCAGGAAATAAAACTGTAAGTGTGGTATGATCCAACTATATAAAATATAAAGACCCAAGGAAAGTATTTTAAAAAGCTAATGGCTCTGGGTGGTAGAATTATAGGTTATTTAAAAACTATTTCTCTGTATTTCCAAATTTCCTACAATTAACTCATGTTATTTATATGATCAGAAAAAAATAAGTGTTACGTACATAAAAATAAGACTTTAAAAAATTTTTCCTTTATGCTAGTCATTTAGGAACTGAAAAATCAGGAGTTTGTTCCTTTATCAAGTTTTTAATAATGAGGAAGAGAAAGGCTGTCAAATAGTTTGCTTCTTAAATTGATCTAGCTGAAACAGTAGTTTTAGAACTGAAATACTTAAACACTCTTAATTTCAAAATTACACATATTACTGCTAAAAAATAAAAGAGCCTAACAGATTGACCTGTTCTTTAGCTTAAATAAAACTACTTGAATGTCTATGACCTCTGATATCTTGTTTTCTCTTAAAGACTGTGAAAAGTATACCTGTGATGTTGATGATGAATTAACTTGCTGACATGGAATGGGCTCAGTTGTCAGTTGGATAATTTGGCCCATTAAAGCAAAAAGAGCACTGAGAGGCAACTAGTGTATTATGCTGCTGCAAAAATGCAAGAATTCTAGCTACTACACCCCCTTAAAATTTTTTTTTAACTCAAAATTAATCTGGAAAAAATTTTCAAAAGAAATTACTCCTTTAAAACATAGAGTGGACTGATAACACCAAGGTCAAGGATTTGAATCCCCTTACTGGCCAGCCACAAAAAAAAAAATAAAATAGAAGAAGGTAAAAGAAATAAAATGTAGAGTGTAAATTATGTAAGTGAAAATGACAAATATTTCTCAACTATAATATTAAAGAGTTAAACTGGATGTCTATATGCCAAAAAAAATTAACTTCAATCCACACCTAACACCATATGCAAAAATTCAAAATACATTATTAGACCTAATATAAAACCCCAAACTATAAAACTCCCAGAGGAAAATACAGGGAAAACTCTGTGACCTTGGGTTGTGCAAAGATTTCTTAGATATAACACTAAAAGCATGATCCATAAAAGCAAAAATGTATAAATTGGAGTTATCAAAAGACTTCTTGTTCTTTGCAAAATACTGTTAAGAGAATGCAAAGATAAGCCATAAACTGGAAGGAAATATTTGCAAAACTTATATCTAATAACAAAAGACTTGAATCCAAAACATGTAAGAAACTCTCAAAACTCAGTAAGAATAAGAACAATCAACCTAATAAAAAATAGGCAAAAGATATGGCAAATAAGCACATTAAAAACATGTTCAAAATCATTAATGAGTAAAGAAATGAAAATTAAAACACAATGAGATTTTAGTAGACATCTATTAGAAAGACTAAAATTAAAAAGACTGACCATTAGAAGTGCTAGCAAGGATGTGCAGGAACTGGAACTCTCATCCTTAAAGAAATGAAAATTAAAACACAATGAGATTTTAGTAGACATCTATTAGAAAGACTACAATTAAAAAGACTGACCATTAGAAGTGCTAGCAAGGATGTGCAGGAACTGGAACTCTCATCCACTACTGGTAGGATGTAAAATGATACAACCACTCGGGAAAAGACTGGCAGTTTCTTAAAAAGTTAAACGTACACCTGAAGGATGCAGCCATTCTACCCTAGGCATCTGTCTCTGAATAATGAAAGCATATGTCCGCACAAAGACTTGTACGTAAATGTTCACGGCTGCTTCATTTGTAATAGTCAAAAACTGGAAACAACCCAGGTGTCCATCAACGAGTAAATGGATAAATAAATTGTGGCATATTGATATGCTAACTACTATGCAGCAATGAAAAGAAGTGAACCGTTGATACACGCTACAATACGGGTGAGTGGCAAAATTATTCTGCTGAGTGAAAGAAGCCAAACAGAAAACAAAAACAAAACTAAATCCAAGTACACACTGTATCACTCCATGTATACGGAAGTCTATAAAATACAAACTAATCTATCATGACCGAAAGCAGGACAGTTAAGGAAAATGTGATATATATACACAATGGAATAGTACTGATATAAAAAATAATGATGGGCTGGCCCCATGGCTCACTCAGGAGAGTGCGGCACTGGTAGTGCTAAGGCTGCGGGTTCGGATCCTATATAGGGATGGCCAGTGCGCTCACTGGCTGAGCCTGGTGCAGACCACACCGTGCTGGGGTTGCAATCCCCTTACCGGTGAAAAAGAAAAAAAAAAAAGAAATTCTGCCATTCGTGCAACATGGATGAACTTAGAGAAAATCACGTTGAGTGAAATAAGCCAGGCACAGAAAGAGAAATAGCACATATCCTCACTCATCAATGGGAGCTAAAAAAATAAAAAAAGAAAGAAAGATACAGCAATCACAATAATTCCTTGAACTTTCAAAAGAGACTGGAACTGAGGCCACCAGAGGAGGACAAGAGGGAGGGGGAAGAGGGGTTAATGAGAAATTGGTAAAGGGCCACAAAAAATGAATACATTGTATAATGACGAATATAGTAATTATCCTGATTTGAGCATCACATATTACATACAGGTATTGATATTCAACGCTGTACCCCATGGATATGTACAATCAATTATGTCTCAATTAAAAAAATATATTTTTAACTTTAAAAAAAAAGAAATCAGATCTCACATCAGTGGTTGCTAGAGGTGGGGGTGGTAAAGGGGGGATTGCAAGCTTTTGGGGAGGTGGATATGTTCATTTTATTGAATGTGATAGAATCATAAGTATACATACATATTGAACTGTACACTCCAAATACATGCAGTTTATGGTATGTCAATTATACCTTCATATAGCTGTTAAAAAATTAACGAATCAACCTTATACTAAACTTTTTAGATAAAGAAACTGATAGCTCCAAGTTTCTCTGTTGTGGGATTAAAATTCACCACCTCTTGCCCTCATTAGCCCTGTGAGCCCTGGTGGTGGTGGTGAGGGGATCATTGCACTCAGAGCATCAAAAGACTGACCTCCCAGGACACTGCCCTGCTCATCCCTCAGGCTGGCCCAGGAAGGGTGACGGCAGGTTCTTCTGCCTCCTTGCCCTCTGGTAGCTTCGTGCTGTTCCCTCCCGTGCAGCCCCGCAGGGACCACAGACCTTACACTCACCTCTTCCTCCTCATTCTCTGACTGCCTAAACTTCAGCCGGAGACTTTCTTCAAACTCCTCATCTGTCCAGTAGAAGAGGATCTCCGCACCCTCGGTGGCCACCAAGACGCATTTCATCTGCCAGGGAGAAGCAATGTCAAGGTCCTATGCTCACCTATTACTCACCCCCAGCCTGAGCAATGAAGAGGAACCCCGAACCCCAGCACTCACTCACTGAGCCTTTTTCATCTGCCAGGGAGAAGCAATGTCAAGGTCCTATGCTCACCTATTGCTCACCCCCAGCCTGAGCAATGAAGAGGAACCCCGAACCCCAGCACTCACTCACTGAGCCTTGTTGCCCATCAGGCACTGCCATACGGGGCTTCCTGGTGTCATTTTGTCACACCCTCACAACTTGATAAAGTAGGACTCTTAAATGACTCCCATTTCATACAGCAGGACACAGGCACAGCCTGAAGTGGTAGAGCCAGGATCCAAATCCAGGCCCATCTGATGCCATGGCCACAGCACTTTCCTCTTGTTATCCAGCCCCTCTCACCACAGCTTCAGACCTGCCATGGGGTCTACTGTAACCAGACATAAGAAGGGACCCAGTTCTTTGTCTGGACAGAGAATCAGCTGCACAAAGCCATGCTCACGGCAGACAGTTGATTCCTGGTCTGGAAAAGGAAGGCGGCTTGTGCACCTCCACCTCTGGGGCAGCCCAGAGTTGTCTTTCCCTCCAACAAAAAGCAGCTCCAGAAGATGAGCCTCAAAACCCATGAGGAGTTTATTTCAGCATTACAGGAATTTCATTCAAAAATCTCCCCTGCTCTTGGTGGAAACAGAGGCTGCCTACGAATCCTGTCCCCGGTTCTTTCTCGTACCTGTTTAGCTGCTACTTTTCTGGCGACATCCATCGTCTCTTCAGCCCTTCCAAACCCTGTCCCCACCATCCCTACATGTACCCTCTGCACTTGATTACACAAAATGTGTTTTATTATCCACCAACAGGTAGATTCTTAATACAGCACTTCCCACACTGAGTCTTGGCCCCCCAGGGTGCAGCAAGACATTGACCCCTCAACCTTTGGGCAGCGTGACTAAGCCTGGTGAGGATTCAAATCCTCTTGTGGAGCTCAATGTGCCACACAGGTATGATGTGTTGTTCGTGTGCCAAACTGTGACAATGACCAGGAAGCTGTGCAGTTTCCTCAGGAGGATCCCAGTGTCTCAAGATCTTGGACTCAGTCATCTCAGGATCCCCATGTCCAGCTTAGTGATCCTTACTGAATCCCTCCCAAATCTCAGTTGGTTTATTAACTCTAACTCAGAGCACCAGGCCCCAAGGTGTTTACAGGGTTATGCGGGGAGATATAGCACAGTAAACAGACTGCAGCCTATTCCCATGGAATTGCTAAACACCACGGCAGAGACTGGGAGAGCAAAAGTTATGAAGAGAAGTTTGCTGGAAGAAGCTGCTCTGGGACGCCCAAGTGAGTGTGACAAAGTTGGGGGTTTGCCTAGAAGGAAGTGGGTTGAATGGTGGGCTGTGGAAGGAGGTGGTGGACGACAGCAGGGGGCCCCGTAGGATGGAGGGCAGAGAAGTGACAATGAAAGGCTGGCTGGAGGTGGACAAGGTCAAAGTAGTGGAGGCCAGTCATCTCAGTGTGGGGTAATGAGGGCTCACTCCTTGGTGGAGGCCAGGAGAATGGAGAGGAAGGCCTATTCAGACTGTGTAGCTTAGAGATTTAGCAGGCCATGATGACTGCCTGGCTGCAAGGGATGAATAGGAGATTAGGCAAAGGTGCCATCAGGATGCAGAGCAGGGGAAGGAGTAGGGGGATGAGAGGGTCTGCAGAGCTCAGGCATATTCAGTCCACTGCCTACCTCATTCTGCCTGCCTCCCTGTCCAGCCCAGGTGAGGCAAGATCATCTACCTTGGCAAGGAGCACAGCAGAGCTTCCAGACAGCCACAGGTTCAGAAAGGGCTGCGGTGGACCGACTCGGTGACCTGCTCATGGAAGAGCAGTACAGCATCCTCGGCGCTGCAGACGCTTAAAAACGGAGAGAACATGAGGCATGGGGTCATTTTATGATTTACCTCCTCTCCTCGCTATCCTGTTCTTAAGAGGAGACTCACGGGGGACTTAATGCAAAGGGAGCTCTGATGGCACTGGGCTAACTTGGGGAAAACATCCTCAGTGTCCACTCTCACCATCTGGACCCCGGCTCTCCCTTCCCTCCCCGCATACTGTCCCTATGGCCTTTGGTCCTGTCTTCCAGCAGCCGGGTCCCGGTCCCCCCGCTCGGGCCCGGCCTTGCCGGTGCAGGGCTTGAAGGCCCCGCAGTGAGTCTTGGCAGAGCGCGAGGCAGCAGTTCGCCGCCGCGGGGCTGCCGTCCAGCAGCAGCCGTCCTGCTTGCCCAGCGCTCTACAGTTTATGTGGCAGTTTCACCCCCAAATCCGCACCTCCCCCACCGCGAACCTCGCGGCACCCTGGGAAGGAGGCCTCACTTGTGGCACCCTCCACTTCCAAGCTGGAGAAACTCTGGCTGAAGCGGCCGGCCCACGGCCACACGCCCGGGCCGGGTGAAGGGGAGGG